TATATTAAATACCAGGCTTCCATTGTTCTAAAATCAGTTTAAAAATCACATGGCAGTCAATTTGGTCAGGTAAATAGTACTTACCCATAATGTACTCTGTATATAAATGTTTAAAACCTATGCTGAAAATTTGCTAGTACTGGGAAATGTATAGTTGTTTAAGCAAATGTTCTAGTAAGTTCACCATAAATCAATCTGTTGCTCCATTGTGTCTCTTAAAAAACGTAGGATCAAAGACAAAGATTATTATAGTAAAAATTACAGTAAAAATTTTATTTTTCTCCCAGTTTGCTCACTCATCTAAAATATTTATGGAGCCAAATATATTAAAGATAAAGTTCCGAGATACCAGATTTTGAAAGAATTTACTGCATATATGCTACGTATTTTGCCAACACATGGTCTCTACTACCAAAGATGTTTTACATTTGTGTAACGGAGTATGGTTTTTGAAACACTTTTTCCATAAGTTACCACAGTCAACTCAGCTCTGTATGTATGATGGGATCAGATACCATGATCCTTATATTTTAGAAAGGAAGAGGAAATATAACTAAATGTGTGGATCATTTTGGATATAAAATAATTTGTTTTGGCTAAAAAAAGAACTTTACAAAATAGAGAGTGTTGTATCTTAACTTCTTTCTGCTACCATTGGTTTTTAAGTTTATCACACTTTAAAAAAATGACCATCTGGTTCAACAAAGTAGGCACATTTTTTATTATGGAAAGTTCAGACATCTGTAAAAGATACGAAAATAATGAACTTTCACTTACAACACTTGTAAACTCATGACCTATAGAACTAATAAATTCATCAAAATAGCACAATACAAAATTAGTATACAAAAACCAGTAGCCAGTGCTGGGGTTATCACTCAGTTGCACATGCACCTGCCTGGAGTAAGCAAGGTCTTGAGTTTGATTCCTGGTATGGAAAAAAAAAAAAAAAAAAAAAAGCCAGCGATGATTGTCACAGTAAGAAAACATCAGGAAAACAGTCCCATTTATGATAGTGTAAAACAAAGGAAACTATGGTACTCTGAAGTAAAAAACTGGTATCTGAAAGAAGAGATTAAAGAGGGCTTTTGGAAATTAAATGACAGTTCCTGTTCTTGAATAGGGAGAATCAATATTGTCAAAATAGCCACATTACCAAAGGCAGTGTATAAATTTCCTATCAGAATACCTATAATTCCTATCAGAATACCAATATTTTTCACAAATATAGAAAAAAAATCATAAAATTATAAGGAACCAGAAGAGACCCTGGATAGCCAAAGCAATCCTGATTAAAATGAATAAAATGGGAAGCAAACAATCCCAGATTTCAAGTCACACTACAAAGTCATAGTAATAAAAACAGCATGACACCGACACAAAAATAGATGTGTAGACCCATGGAATAGAAGACACAGAAACAACCCTATAGAAGACATAGGCACAATACCTATTTAGCCATTTGATCTTTGACAAAGGGGGCAAAATTTTACGCTGGAGAAAAGACAGCCTCTTTAACCAAAGGTGCTAAGAAAACTGGTTTTCTGTGTGCAGAAGAGTGAAATAAAACCCATGTATTAAAATCATATCAGAATGGTTTGAAGACCTAGATATAAAAACAGCACTGAAACTGCTGGAAGGTAAAACAGGGGGAACCCTTGAAGCCATAGGCAAAGGCAAAGACTTCTTCAATATTTCAATAGTGTAAAAAATAATAGTAAGAATAAATAAGAGATTATGTTAAATTAAAAAGCTACACAGGAAAGGAAACAATTTACAGAGTGAAAAAGCCTACAGAATGGAAAAAGTTTCTGTGAGCTAGTCTTCTGATAGAGGATTAATATCTATACTGCATAAAGGCCTGAACACATTAGACCTCAAAAATAAAAGAATGGGGGCTGGGGATTTAGCTCAGAGGCATAAGCGTCTGCCTTGAAAGCAGGCAGTCGTGAGTTCGATCCCCGGTACCAATGAAAAAGACACACACACAAAAAAAAAAAAAATCAAAAAACAAGCAAAGAAAATGTACAGCCACTCATCAGTAAGAAGTACAAAAAGCCAGTAATTACATGAAAAAAAGCTCAACATGTTTAACCATTAGAGGAATGTAAAATCAAACAATTCTGAAATTTCATTTTAATCCAGTAGGAGTGGCTATCATCAAAAACACACATACACACACACAAAAGCACACATACAAAAAGAAAATGCTGGCAAGGATCTGGGGAAAAAGGAACCCTTCTACACTGTTGCTGGGAGGGTAAACTACCACAGTCATTATGAGAATTTATGCAGAGTGTTCTCCAAAAGCTAAAAGTAGAAATTTCATTTGACCTAGGTATACCTGTCCTTGACATTTTTCCCAAAGAATTGAAGACATCATACTATAGTGTTGCAGTATGGTTATAACCCATGGTTATAGCCACCTGGTTCACATTAGCCAAATACGGAAACAGCCTAGGTGCCCCTCAGCATGTGAATGGATAAAGAAAATGTGCTATAAATATACTTATAGCCATAAAGAAGGAGTTTTCATGATTTATAGAAGAGTATATCTGGAAAACATAATGTTGAATGAAATAAGAAACAGAAAGTGAAGTATTACATGATTTTATATGAAAAACTGAAAATTTAAAGAGATAAAAAAGGAGATATGGTAGGAAACAAGGAAGCAGACTTTTGGAGACAGACTAATTGTCAGGAAGTGGGGCGAGGCAAGGAAAGGGTGAGGGAAGGATTGAAATGTTCAAGATGAAAATATATATAAATTTCTTGAAAAAATGTAATTATTACGTATGGCAAACACACCAATTTAAAAAAAAAAAAACTCATGGCCTGATTTTATCTGTACTCCTCCCCAAGGTAATACATATTTTATCTATAAATATCTATGAATATCTAGTTTGTACCCTTAAAGTTGATTCTATTTTAAAATATCATACCTAAATTATTTTTTAAAATTTTATTTTAAAGATAATAAGACGCAATAAAACAACAGAATAAAGCCAATCAAAGCAAGGTAGTGAAATTGGTACAGAATTTTAAAGCAGGATAACAGGAAACCACAATGGCTATCATAGTATATCTTGTTATCTTGACAGTAATTGTCCATTCCATCAGATATAGCAAAATCAAACCAATCAAAACAGAATACTGAATAAAGCAAAACAACTGGAACAAAACAGAACACTCTTGGATTTCAAAAACAAGATAGAAGGAAATCCTCCATATTTGCTATATTGAATACTTTTATCCTCCCCTATAGATGCTCAGACCACCAGCCCCAGGCCTGTAAAGTCAAACAATACAAGCACTCAGTTGCTTTTTGTACCTCAGTTGCTATCAACTCAGCCTGTCCTCCTAACCAGCTGTTGCTTAGGGTGGGGAAAGAAGTTGGTGATTCTCAACCCGTGTGCCAGTACGCCCATGGAAGGCGCCATCTGACTTTTCCTGGACCCCACATGGCTTTGCTGGCTTACCAGAATGGCTGGCTAGTTGGCTTGTTGGTCACCTCCCAGTCCCAGCATGGCCAATTCTCGGGAGGCACTGTCTGAGTTTTCTCTTCCTGGACCCCTTGTGGCTTATACCTAAATTATTTGATGTTAATTTCGTAGTGTCAAATGTCTGGTTATGTTCAGTTATCTCTTATAGTTTCATAACTTTAGTAGTCTCTTTTTAAAGAAATTCCATGAAACAGATGAAACAGTAGTTAAGGTTCCTATAAATTGACATTATTATTATTATTATTCTTGTTGCTGATAAGTGTCCCATCCCTTTGTTTCCTGATGGTTTCATTTGACAGACCCTCTGTATTTCTTATACATTGGTGGAATTATTCTGTTAATCTGTTGCTATATAGAAACAACAATCACAGTCAGAGATTTAAAATAACAATTGATTCTTATAGTTCTGAGGGTGGATGAGCAGCTGGGTAGTTCTTACTACCCTCATGAGTATCCCTCATGAGTTCATAGTGAGATGAAGCTGAGCTTGGGTGTTCTGAAGACTTTTACATACCTGTCTAGTGTCCAGCCTGCAAAGGCTGGAGTGACTTGAAGTTTTTCTGGCTTTTGTCCTTCCCTATGGCTTCTCCCTGTGGCTAGCTTGCACTTTTTCACTAGGCAGTCAGACTTCTACATGATTTCTGATTTATGTCAGTGACCATGCAGGAGTCCAATGCAGAAATACAAGGCTTCTCTTGACCTAACTTTGGAAGTAATGTGGTATCAGTTTCACATTCTGTTAACTGAAGTGAGTTATAGCAACAACAGGATTTAAGAGTTAGGACCTTATGAAGAAAAAGGAAAACAGGAGACATACTTTATTGGGAAGAGATGGAACAGGTTTTGTGATAAGCTCCCAGGAGATAGAATCAAACTATTTTATCAAAAATATTTTATAAGTGGAGCTGTGAGTTTCCATTATAATGAAATTTTGTTTTAAAATTGGTCATTATAATCACTGTCTACTTAATTGTAATATTTAATTTGTCGCTGTAGAGTTACAAAATGGTATTTTTTAAATTCTATTTTTCCTTATTAGATTATTTTAGAATTTTCTGTTTCAGCTATTTACTTGAATTATATATAAGAAATTCTGGGCATGTTTGATCTTTTCCATTTATTTACTAGTTTTTAAAAGTAACGTATTAGTTTTCTATCATGTTCCAAGTGTAATGACATTTGAAGTGTATTACCAGTACACATGAATTTATGTGTAGTTGATGTGTATCAATCCATTAATGGTCAGCTTGGCCCCTGGGCAACTTTTCAAGGTGGCTATCAGGCCCTTTTTAAAGTACTTTTGGTGGTCTGTTGATGACTTTGGTGCTATCTGCTATGTCAAGACATTTTAGACTGATCTTGAAACCTTTCTTCCCTGCTATTGGAAGCAGTCATTTCTCCAGTAAACTATGATTCCTTCAAGTGGAGTGGAGATTATGGTCATTAGAAACCATTGCTTTCTTTCTTTCTTTCTTTCTTTCTTTCTTTCTTTCTTTCTTTCATATGGAATGTTTCATGAATTTGCGTGTCATCCTTACACAGGGAGTATGTTAATCTTTATATCATTTCAGTTGTAGTGTATATGCTGCTGAAGTGAGCACTAGAAACAATTATCTGCTATGGATATTTGTTGCTTTTCAAACACGGCAAGCTACTCTTCTTGTTCTTTTTTTGTTTGTTTCTGCATTCCTTATTATTTCTTAGATAATGTGGGACCTTGCTTTTGCAAGTTGGATGTTGTTTTTGCTAAATATGAAACCCTATTTTTAGAAAGGTAAATTTAAAAAGCTTATAAAATCATCTCTTATGAAATTAAATTTTATAAGCATGTTAACTTTTTAGGTCAGATATACCTACTGGTACAGCCTTTTCCACCAAGTCATGAATTCACTTTTCTTTTTATAAGTGAATACAAGTCCTACTTGCTTTCTTTTGGACACCATAGAAGTGGCCTATCCATTGGTTTTATCTGCACAGAAAGTGTAAAATTAGTCTATGAGTCTCAAGTGCTATTATTATTGTTATGTAAAATATGCTGTGACTTGTTTAAATTTGCTAAAACCTAGTTCATATCATCTGCTTGTGCTGAACACCAATCTGCTTAGTTAGACTAACTGCTCATGTTAGTCTTTTAAATAGATGGGTCTATTTTATACTAATACAAGCAATTATATGGCTCTTGGTAAAATTTTATTTTGATATGCTTCAAGATGAAGCTAACTAATTAAAGTTAAGATTTTTTAAAGTATGAGAGGCTTTCTCTTATTGTTGTTGAGATCATGGAAAAATACTTGTCCAAGAAATCATTGACTATATTTAAAGGCACTGCATTTTGAAACTTAATTACCAGTGATTCATCTCAAAGTAATTCTTCAAGAGCAAAATCTTATAGGTCACAGTTGGAAAAAAAAGTGTGTGGAGGAAATAGTTGACATTGAAATATGAACAAACAAATAGGAAATAAAAGGCTATAAAGACTGTTCATCAGGAAGATTGATCCTTAGGAACTTTTTTGGCTACTTTGTTATACTACAAATAATACTTCATGTACCTGTTAGCAAAATCTTTAAGGTGTCCAGTGTTCTAACCCCACTCATACCATGTTCTTTAGCATCCTTTTAAGGGAATTAAGAGTTTTTTTTTTTTTCCCCTGAAAGATGCTTAGTAAAAAGGAGAGAAAAAACTGTAATGAAATCAATTTCAGAGTTGTTTTGTGGATAACACAAATTCACTATCTTAGTGTAATAGAAAGCCAGCCTGGTGTTACATACAGATCTAGCCTTGCAAGAAAGAACAGCAATAAAAATAATCTCTTCAATTAAAAAGCTCCACACTTGAGTTTTAACTACAAATTCTACAATAAAGCCACAGAAGTATGGAAAAGTTGTGAAAAAAAACTTATTTGTATATAGTCCTTATAAATATAACTCACACTTTGGTAGATTATATTCTGTGGAGCCAAACAGATTACTATTCTAGATTACTATCAAACTAGTTTCCTTATTACTCTTAATACTTACATCACACTTTATATTATTAATACACTCCTTAGATCATTTAGAACTACGTAATACCTATTTGTTTTAAATCTCAGCTCTGCTCATTAAACATACATGCACAATTCTCATACAATTTGCATAACTATGCCTTTTCTGTTTAAAGCCAAATATATGTTCTTGCATTCCTTGGAGAAGTATTAGTAATATATAATTTGCTGTCTATTCAGAAAAATAAATCTTTTGAGAAGAAAATAGTACAAGTATTCAATAAAGCAACTACCAGATTCAGAACAAAATCAAGTACCTTGTATTATGTTGTTATGTCAAAGATGATTATTATATAACTCTGAATTAACTGGGGAGAGGTCATATTAAAGACTGGCGGTAAACCAGAAACTTCATATTTCCCAGAAATTTTAAATTTTCTCAATTTTTAGCTCGAGGAAAGCTATAATGAATGTGCTTGATGGTTCATGCTTTTAACCTTCTCTTAAGGCTGACGTCTGCGTGAAAGATAACTGAGAAGTTGTTCTTAGAGAGCAAGATTTTCTCTTGCTAATCTCTGTATAAAAATTCTTGTACCTCAGGAATTTCCTCAACTCCATTTTGGTAACAGAGGAGTTATATATGTTATTAAAAAGTAACCTTGAATACCAAAATTTTACTTTACTTTCAATAGCTGCCCTTCAACTGGCATTTAAAAAAACAGACAGTTGTACACAGTAGTAGTGAGAAGTATGTCTAATGTATTAATGAAGGTCAATTTATACTTATACCTTTGTCTTCTAACTGTATATTTCTTTTTCTCATCACACCTTTGGATATAGTTTGTGTTGTGATGATATTTAAAAATAAACATAAAACATATTTCTTCTCTCAGTTATGTTGATTTTATTTATTTGTTTATTTATGTATTGTCTTTTTGAGACAGGGTTTTACTTTGTGGTTCATGCTGGCCTGGAACTCACTTTGTAGCCTACGCTGGCCTCAAAATCACAGTGATAGCCTGCCTCAGCCCCCTAGTGCTAGGATTACAGGCATGTGCCATCATGCTCAGCCACTTATATTGAATTTTAAAGCAGCAAAATATCTCATTTAAAAAAAAGTATAAATATTGTTAACACAAATATAATGAAATGCAATTTAAGAGTACCATTAAAGTAATATATATATGCTTAGATGCAATTACACATCTCACTAAAATCAAATTAGGTTAATTTGCTCTATTTGCTGTTTAATATAACTTGGACCCTCTCTTCTGCACATCCCACCCAAATGTGAATAGAATTAATTCATCCTGTAAAGTTTAATTTAGACTTACCTCCTCCTTTTGTTGTCATGTATCTCAGTTTAATAAGCCTTTAATTGCACCCAGGTTTAATTGAGGGCTGTATGTGTGCCAGGTGGCACTCTGTGATTGAATTTTTTATTCTCTTAGTCTCAGTTACTTCGCACCTTTAGATGTGTGGACTTGTTGAGCTTTAGATTTCAGAGTACTTAATCTTTTGTTAGTTCCTTTTGATTTATGGCATTTTAGCCATTTTTCACAAATACTGAATTTGAAATATTTAAAACATCAGAAAGATCTGATTGTAGCAGCTCTTCTTGAAATTGTTCCATTGGCTGCAATAGGAGTCCAGAGCCGTGATCCACAAGACACCAGAGGAAACAAGGCTCACATTCTGAGCAAAATCAACAGAGTGACAGAAACTTAGAAGCCCACTGAATATTAGTAGGTGGACTTTGGGAAAAATAAATTTGTCAGTTTTCATCTCTGTTACCTGTAATTGATATGGAAATCATGTTTTCCTTAGTACTAGACAGGGCCACAAATTAGAACAAGTTTCCATGAAGGTTTTCCTAACTCATCTAAGGTAGAGTTGCAGCACTTTGCATGAGGAAGGATTTTGCTTGACTAAAAGCCTCTGGAACATTCAAATTGATCCTAACCCTCCTTAGGAAGGGAAATTCCCTGGGGGCTGAAAGAAGCAGTGTCCTCTGAGAATGGAGTGCTTTCTTGTTCAGCTGTCGGCGACTATGTACTCTCATTGTTTCCAGTTTCCTTGTATCTAGAACAAAACGGGCTTTCTCTAGAAAATCCTGTACTACTGCAGCCCTGAGGTGCACTCAGCTGTATTGTGCATGTCTCTGTATGTTTGGCTAATGTGTTTAAAGAGAAATACATATCTTTTTCTTTGCTGTCAAGTCATGAGCTATGAGTTCTTATAGACGAATTTTTTCTATAAAGCAGTATTTGAATTTTGGTTTTATGTTTCTGCTGCTAGAGGTACAGTTCTAAAAATTGCAAGCTTCTTGACTAGCCTTTGTCTATCTAGTATAGCGTTTTTTTTTTTTATTTTAAAGAGAATAAAACCATGCAAAATAAAACAGAATGAAACCAATCAAAACAAAACATTGAATGTAATACAGAACTTCACAACAGGATCATAAGAAATCATTGGTGGTTACCATAATGCCTCTCATTATATTCCAGATTGCTGCCATCAGACATAATAAAATCAAACAAAATAGAAGAGAATAAAACCAATCCAAAAAGAACATTGAATAAAACAAGACAATAAAATGGAACAAAACAAAACACAACAATACTGGATTTCAAAAATAATTCAGAAGGAAATACCCCATATTTGCTGTATAACATATTGTTATCCTCTTAATGAATGCTCAGACTACTGGCCTTGGACCTGCAAAGTCAATCAAACAATAAGCATTAAGTTGTTTTTGTACCTCAGTTGCTATCAATTCAGCCTGTGATCTTCCAAATCAACTGGTTGCTTAGTGAGTGGGCAGGTGGGGGTGGGGTGTTCTTATCGCCCAGCTCCATGCTGGTTGGCTCACAGCAATAACACAAGAAGTGAATTAGCTTCCTGTTACTTTTCCCAGATCTAGTATGGTTTGTGTGACTCATGGGAGCAGCAAATTAGCTTCTTGTTTCTCTCCTGCTCCCAGCGTGGCTTCTGCTGACTCATGGGAAGGGCATAGACACTCATGTCTTGCACTGGCTCATGGGAAGGGTGAATTAACTTTTGTTTCTCTTCTCAGGCCCAGCATGGCTTCTTACTATTAGTGGGGCCCCAGGTTTGGATGTTATTTCTAATTAGTTTTGATAAATCTGTCCTATGGAAATTTGTGAAAAATCCTAAGATGGAAAAAAATGTGAATGCTGCTAAACTTCCCGCTGTGGGGTCTTGGGGAAGAAGTTGACTAAATAGTGACATATAGTACTTCTGAATGAAGTGTGCTCACTGTAGGCCAAAGCTTACATCATCCACACATCTGTGTAACCATAAAGATGAGTAGTAATAGTTTCTAACATTTTTCATTTATTTTGATTTTCTATCCATCAAGATTGGCTTTATTTTATTTATTTATTTATTTATTTATTTATTTATTTATTTATTTATTTTTGGTACTGGGGATCAAACTTACAACCTTGCACTTACCAGGCAAGCACTTGAGCTGCTGAGCTAAATCCCTGGCCCAAGATTGGTGTCTTAGTTACTTTATGCTTGTCGCTGAGACAAAATACCTGATGCCCAAGTTGGGAAAGGAAAAGTTTATTTCTTACAGTTTTTGGAGGT